TAAGCTTACCTAAGCCATTGAAACGAGTTATGTTCTACAAACTGTAAGCTTACCTAAGCTACTGAAATGAGTTATATCCTGTGTTTCCTTGTCCTGCATTCGCTGTTGGATTTCCAGATGAACCTGGGGAATAAAATAAGTCCAAAAACCTGTATTGTTTCTGATTTGACAATTATTAGAACAATTCAGTCCTTTTTTTCATTTTTGTGCTACGACTGATTTTCCTTCTTACTCTTGCTTCTGTTCTCTTTTACCTCAGTTTATCTTGAATTCAGTGATCTGATGTAATATCCAGTTTTAAAAACAACATTTAAAATTGCCTTTTCTTCTTTTTCTCCTGATTTCTTTGATGCTAGTGCCATTTTGCTGTATTTTGCTGGGAGGTAACTATATCCCCAATCTTAAAACGCAGTTGTTCATCTGTCCTCCTGCCTAGTAAATGATAACGGATAGATCTACCTCTTCAATATTGTAATGAGTACTCAGCCAAACAATGGAGTGAATTCACAATATTTCATTTCTGATGGCTATTGATTTTTCAATCTTCCCCCATGTCATGAATCAAGCTCAGAATATTAAAATGTCAGAGAAAAGTTAAGAAATAAGATATCTAGGATTTTCTCATTCATTACTGTAGCTTTATGTTTACCTTGTTTATTTCCTTCCTTTCTGTTGTAGTCCTCCTAAGTAACTTGATGAGACGACATGATGGCATCTTTTCTTGCACTTCATCATGAAGCTTTTCAACATCATAATCACTTCGCTGAAATTTGAAAGAAAGGAAATTGTAATGTGTTAATTGTGATTTTGCAAATTGTCATATTTACATACCATGTAGACTGATCATGATATACAAAACAAATATCTTGCTGTCATCAGAGTTTGTTGAAACTAAGAAACTTTTGACATCGTCCTCTGTTAAAGCAGCCAATGTACATCACTGAGTTATGTACAAATTTCACCATTCTAACATTTGTATTTTTTATGTTGTGCTGACATCTTTGTAAGCATGTAATGCTTTTATTGGCACATCTATCCAAATTGACCGAGTACGAATTTGATTTGGATGGATGCTTTTCAAACCACTGTTAAATTTGATTTGGATGGATGCTTTTCAAACCACTGTTAAATTTGATTTGAGAGAATTGAAGATGGCGATAGCATGACACTTTAGTACTGTAGCCAGTTTCAACTGTCCCTGATGACCCTGCTATTGTAGTACTGTTTTGTTGGTCACAACGTTGACCCCAAGGTTATGTAATATACAACTTAAATACAAAGCAATCTTTTCAACTTTCAACTTTTAAATTGATTGCTTGGGCCTGCACACAGCAGGTTGCTGGAGTAGAGTAGAACACTCTAACAAGAGTGATCAACATACCCTGCATGAAAAGAAAAAAAGAAAGAGAAGTATTTTATTATCGGGCGAGTGACCCAATATCTTTCACGTCAGGTTAGGAAATCAAACCCAGATCGGTGAAAGATGAGTGCTCCACTGAACCACTCGATCATGGGACTCTTTGCATTGATTCTGACATGCAGCACTCATCAAGCTGGGGTCAACGGGATTCATGGGTAATAATCCTGCATTTGGGTAACAGTTACCAGCTGTTTATAGTAAAAAAAATATTACTGAAAAGTGGAATAAAGTGAAATAAAAAAACCACCAAGTTCTTTCAAACATGTACTGTAGGAGCGAAAAAGGGGCATCAGTCGCATCATTCTTTCAATATAATCCAGTAAATTGTACAATAATGAACATTTTTACACAAAAAGCCACAGGAGCATTATAAAGTATATACATATCACATAATTATTTCTATTAGTGTGTCCAGCACAATTCTGGTGTCTTACTTGGTTAAATTAACAAACCATATTATTGAGATCATCCAGTGCAAATGTGGTAGAAGAGCATGAAATTTGCAATGTTCTAATGAAAGCCACCCTACACCTATAAGTACTGTAATGGAGATGATACAGTTCACAATTTTCGCAAAAAGTTTGACATCTAAATCAGTCATTTTTTGTGCACAATTGTACCGCACTTTAGTATTTATTGGGTTTTGTTGAAAGAAAGAAACCTTTATTTATTCCTAATATATGAAATATCTTTATGCGTTTTTGTTTCGCTTTATTTCCCATTTCAGTAATAAGTGTGTTACTGTAAACGGTAATTGTTACCCTTGCCATAGACGTTTATATATAAGTCTTACTCCAACAATGTTAGAGGTTTTACACGGCGAAAAAATTTTGACAGGCGTCGCAGTCGGCAAAATCATATCCGATTGAAAAAAGGCCGACCAGCGGCCTCTCATGTTATGGGAGTAATATACGTCTCTGCCCTTGCATAACCATATGCAGGATTATTACCAATATCATCATATGCCTTAAAAGAAGTTGTCAATATCAGATCAATAGGTTCTCCCTAATTCATAAACAAGCAACTCTGGTCGAAGAGATCTAACCGTTTTGAATGCGATAAACGAAAGCGGTGACAGACAAGTTCAGACAGATTGACCGAGGCGGGCCCAGTTTAACCCACCTTACTGATGTGTCCAGTTCGTTCTCCTAAAATTAACGCATTTCTGAGTGGAACAAGTGAACTGTCAACACAGCTCCATGGATTGGAAGTATCCAAGACTGTGGAAAACCGCTCACTGTCCATTTATGTTTGTTTACATATTTCGATGAGTGCAATTTGAAGGTTTCCGCTTCTTTACATTTTTATCTCCTTATATTAAAGAGTTCTCTTACCGCGTAGTAATACAAACATTACTAATTAAAGAAATGGTGACTGAATTTTCGGGGAAAAAAATCAGAATTAACAAATAATTTCTCAGCCAAATATCAGATCATGAATCTATTGATGCTTTGTGTAGAAAAAATGATAAAACAGTTTGCCTAGCTAAAATTACAGCATTAAATATAATCTACACAATAAAAGTTATAATTTATTTAAAGTAGAAGCACGGACTTGCGGATACCCTCTAATCTAATTCCGTGGTAAAATAAAGGAATTAGATCTATCTAAGTCCGTCCGTGGTAGAATCAAGTAAAGAACATATCAGTTATTAATTAATGGCAGAATATCATCAGCATAAAAACGCTGTTATAGGTTAGCAATGCCGATACAATATCAATGCCGCTAGACGGTACGCGTTTCCGGTGCCACATCAATGATGCATGACGATACACATTTACGGTACCTATCAATGCTGCAAGATGGTACTTGTTTTCCGGTGTCACATCAACGATGCAAGATGGAATATTTTTTCTTTGGTGTCACCCCAATATCTCAAATAGGTACATGGCGTTTTACAGCTAGGTCAGCACAAACTCAACAGCATAAACAAACAATGTTATAGGTTAGCAATGCAGGTCTCACTTGCAATGCGGTACGCGTTTCCGATGTCATATCAGTAGTGCAGGACAATACAAGTTTCCGGTGTCACATCAATGATGCAGGACGATACACGTTTCCGGTGTCACACCAATGATGCAGGGCGATACACGTTACCGGTGTCACATCAATGATGCATGATGATACACGTTTCCGGTGTCAAATCAATGTTGCATGACGATACACGTTTACGGTGTCACACCAATGATGAAAGACGATACACGTTTCCGGTGTCACATCAATGTTGCATGACGATACACGTTTCCGGTGTCACATCAATGATGCAGGATGATACACGTTTCCGGTGTCACATCAATGATGAAAGACGATACACGTTTCCGGTGTCACATCAATGTTGCATGACGATAAACGTTTCCGGTGTCACATCAATGATACAAGACGATACGCGTTTACGGTGTCACATCAATGATGCAAGACGATACGCGTTTACGGTGTCACACCAATGAATCAGGGCGACACACGCTTCAAGTGTCCATCACGATGCAGGGCGAAACACGATTCCGGTGTCCATCAATGATGCAGGACGATACACGTTTCCGGTGTCACATCAATGATGCATGGCGATACACGTTTCCGTTGTCACATCAATGTTGCATGACTCGATACACGTTTACGGTGTTACACCAATGAATCAGGACGACACACCTTTCAAGTGGCCATCACGATGCAGAGTGACACACGGTTCCAGTGTTTTATCAATGATGCAAGACGATACACGTTTCTGGTGTCACACCGATGATTAAGGACGATACGCGTCTTTGGTGGCACACGAGTGTTACATACCAATACAAATGCATTTTTAAACATTGTTTATCCTAGAGGTATGTCCAGCCATACCTGATATCTTGGGTCTTTTTTCACAGTATTGGAGATCTATGCAGTGCAATAATCATCCTCGATGAGCAGGGGTTACACTCACGTACACTCTCTGCACCCCTGACATATGTCATTGCAAAATTGAAGGCTAATTGTGCGCCACCTTGTTGGTGAGACAAGAAGACTATTTCAATCCTTTGATGTACATCAAAAGAATCTTGCGGTCGCGTAACGGTAAAAAAAATGCATGGCTTTCAAGTCGGTTGTCGCCCCTCTGTAATCTTTAAAGGACATGTAAAAGCCTGGCTATTTGTCAGGTTTTTTCCCCTGAGATCAATGAAATACCTATATTTGCGCATTCAATTTTGTATGATATATTCCAGGGGTGTAGATAGCGTAGCCTCTTGCGGTTCCGGGTTGTTTCGCCCGAAATCCCGTTCACCTTAGGTTGTTTCGCCCTAAAACATATTTTTAGGGCGAAACATTGTTTGATATTTTCTTTTAATTTTAGTAGTTTTAAGTCACAAATAAAGTCTTCTTAGTCTTCCAATAAATTAGAATAAATTTTATAAAAAGAAATGTGTTTGTGTTGTTTTTTAAGCAAATGTGACAAACGGCAGCTGTGAAAAGCTGACTCCGCACTCACACAGTTGCGTATTTTTCTACATGAAATATATCTAACAACAATATTGAAAGTTATCCATAAGTTTAGTTGATATATTTAAATGTCAATTATATTATTAGCGTATAGATTAAAAATATATATATTAAGGCGAAACAACCCGTTTCCCCTCTGGATATTATCAGAGACGTATGTATGTATATAATCACGGAATTATATATCTAAGTCCGTGGTATAATTCACTGCAATTTTCACATAATGGCATGAAATAAGCAAAGTCGACCATGACAGACACATAATATGTATACTTAATATAACTCGATAATCAAACTGGTACGTGTTTCCGTAGGCAAGTATTCATAAATGTGATATCAGCTTTTTCTGAATCTGCGTCTGGCTTTTAAAACGGCGTTAGGATTTATGGCGCATGATTTTCCGGAATTAATATACCGGTTAACAACTTAACTTTAATTTTACTGTACACTAGATCGTAATTATATATTTTAAGCAATGACACATTATTATTATATAATGCACCGACTTTAAAAAGAATGTATATCCCATAGGAATGAACTGAATATTTTGATCTAGTAGATATAAATAAAAGCAAACAAATTTAATGGACTATATTTTTAATAGTCTGTACTTCCGGCTCAGACGTTCTTCGGTGAGGTAAAACTGACGTGGATTATGGTGTTTGGATTTAATGTATAAAAACCCCAGGTTAAAAATAGAGCCCTCTGTAAGTTTGGCATTTTCGTTTTATTTGGCCATACTAGTAAATTGTCCTTCGTCCTTTGCGAAATTTAGAAGTTGTTCCGAATATTTTCAATGGAGGTATTTTACAAAACACCTGATGACATTACTCGGGTTTGGAGCATCTCTGAGGCATTGTCACATGATGTAAATCTTGTTTGTACAAAATAGGAAAGTTTCTCATGCCATTTATTGTAATGCTGGTCCTTAAATCACTTAATGAAATGGTGTTGTAATGTTCAACGTCTCGGATACATGTACTATTAAGTAATCTGACCAGATATGATAAGAGCAGGAAGTGGAATAATGTAATTATTTTATAAAAATATAAAAATATAATTTCAGAACATCAGCATGGATGACTTGGCAGCTAACCCTTTCACACAGCTTTTCCCTGACATGAATGAGGCAAGACAGTTCATGATGATCTCTGCCTCACAGAAACAGGAAGCTTTGGAGAGGGTGGAAGCAGAGAAAGTTCGCAAATGTATACAACTCAGCAGTCTTCTGGAGAAAGTGTTTCTATTCACACTTGATCAAGGTTGGTCCAACAAATATGAAGTTAGTATATATGTAGAGTTAGACTTTGCAACATCATTTGCTGCATTTTATTCATTTCAATCAACTTTACAATGCCAAACTAAGAACAAGTTTGAGTGTCTGAAATTAAAAAAAAATGCATTAATTGAATTTGTTGTAATAAAGTAATGTGTTGTTATGCATTGCAAAAGTTTTGATCACATAAACAAAATAAAATATCACAATGTATTGTACAAGTTTCTATTTTTTTTAAACTAATATTTGTTTGGTATTTATTAAAGGGCAATAAAATAGCTGTTGTTATGTTTTCACAGAACCACAATAGATATTGGTGGGCATGTTACCAGGCATGGGATTGTTACAAGATAACAATGATTTACGTGTTCAGCTCTTTTACCTGAACCGATCATGATCAGTACATGAATGATTGATTCCTAGCTATATCATTTTACTATCTTTACCAGAAATTACTGACGATAGTGACAGACCAACAAAGTTGGTAATTATCAGAGAGTTGGGTCAATCACTTCAAAAGGGAAACCAGACATGGCTGGATATGAAGTACATTGAACAGGTAGGTAGAAGCTTTGTCAAAAGAACAAGTAGATAACCTATCTTACACTCTAAATCATTAACTTTGGTTCAAAGAACAGGCAGTCAGACTGTTAAGATATATTTTCATTGTTCAATGTATTTTGGATTTGCCTGAAAATCTTAATTCACAGATGCTAACTTTTCACGGTTTTATGTTTCTTATATGAAGAGTTCCTTTTAAGTAGGGATGGAGAGGACATTCAAATAAGAGCTCTGAAATATTCCCAGAAGTTACAAAGCATTCCTCAATTTATTTTGTTTTACAGAATTGAATCAAGTACAAAAGTAGTGAAAATTAGAACCATATGAAAAAAAGCACAAAGAACATATATTATTTCTAAATCATGGTCTTTTGTATTTCCTATTATATACACAGGCTGTGTTTGAGCGTCTCCTGCTGACTAACCCTTTGGATGATGTAATATCTACAAAACATAAGAGTTCCTCAGATGATGCAAAGGCCAGGCGACTTGCAGGAGAGGGGGAGGTTCTCCGGTACCTCATGCAGTGCTTTGAACGGTCTCTCATTGCAAAAAAGGACAAACAGGTACTGAAAATAGAATTGTAATCAATGCTAAACTACATGTTAAATATTCAATTATTTTACATTTTTTTGTGGCAAGTATGACAATACAGAATCTTACATTAGAATGATGTAGTAACAGAATGGTAACTCTAGTAATATCTGATGTAGTAACAGAATGGTAACACTAGTAATATCCAATCTAAGTAACATAATGGTAACACTAGTAATATCTGATGTAGTAACAGAATGGTAACTCTAGTAATATCTGATGTAGTAACAGAATGGTAACACTAGTAATATCCAATCTAAGTAACATAATGGTAACACTAGTAATATCTGATGTAGTAACAGAATGGTAACTCTAGTAATATCTGATGTAGTAACAGAATGGTAACACTAGTAATATCTGATGTAGTAACAGAATGGTAACACTAGTAATATCTGATGTAGTAACAGAATGGTAACACTAGTAATATCCAATCTAAGTAACATAATGGTAACACTAGTAATATCCAATCTAACTAACAGAATGGTAACACTAGTAATATCTGATGTAGTAACAGAATGGTAACACTAGTAATATCTGATGTAGTAACAGAATGGTAACACTAGTAATATCTGATGTAGTAACAGAATGGTAACACTAGTAATATCTGATGTAGTAACAGAATGGTAACACTAGTAATATCTGATGTAGTAACAGAATGGTAACACTAGTAATATCTGATGTAGTAACAGAATGGTAACACTAGTAATATCTGATGTAGTAACAGAATGGTAACACTAGTAATATCTGATGTAGTAACAGAATGGTAACACTAGTAATATCTGATGTAGTAACAGAATGGTAACACTAGTAATATCTGATGTAGTAACAGAATGGTAACACTAGTAATATCTGATGTAGTAACAGAATGGTAACACTAGTAATATCTGATGTAGTAACAGAATGGTAACACTAGTAATATCTGATGTAGTAACAGAATGGTAACACTAGTAATATCTGATGTAGTAACAGAATGGTAACACTAGTAATATCTGATGTAGTAACAGAATGGTAACACTAGTAATATCTGATGTAGTAACAGAATGGTAACACTAGTAATATCTGATGTAGTAACAGAATGGTAACACTAGTAATATCTGATGTAGTAACAGAATGGTAACACTAGTAATATCTGATGTAGTAACAGAATGGTAACACTAGTAATATCTGATGTAGTAACAGAATGGTAACACTAGTAATATCCAATCTAACTAACAGAATGGTAGCACTAGTAATATCCTATGTAGTAACAGAATGGTAACACTAGTAATATCCATTCTAACTAACAGAATGGTAACATAAGCAATCTAAGTAAAAGAAAAAGATTTTTTTTATGGTTATAAAGCAATGTATTATGTACTTGGCATACCGAGAGTAAAAATATAACATTATGAATAGTGCTTGTAGTTCCTTTAGTCACTGTTGACGCAGATAATTGTTCCCTTCATCAGGCTGTTGAGTCAGAGGACTGGACATCAGTCGCACTGTGGAGACATAACTGAACCCTTTAGTTAGTTACACTATTACAGCAGAAGTAAATGAACATCACCCATAGGCAAAAGTCTCACAATCATGAGAATATTTGTATTGGTTTAGTAAACAGTTGTTATTATGATTGAACTCTGATTTTGTGTCGGTGATGACTAAAATATCAGTTGTTACAACAGAACGACGAGTTCGCCTCTGAGTTGGCTACATGCCAAGAGGTCATGGTGCTGAATGCCAGGACAAGTCTTCAGCAGCCGGACCTTTACCAGGGACAAGATCCAAGGACACAGTTCATACAGTTGTACCAAGAGGAGATGGGGGGTGCTCTGGGTAGGTATCTTCTCACAAGAACGAGAAGAGGGGCCTGCTTTTGTTAAGTATCTCATGGAAAATAACATAGAAAAAATGCAGATATCAGAAAATTAGGAACAGGGATGTCAACTTGGTATTACCAGTATTTTACATAAAGGGGATGAAAAAGACTATTTCTGTGCCTAAGAAGTTTGCTTTATATAATTCTGACTTTTTTCTTTTTTTTCATAGAGGATGAAAGTGGCAATATTGAACTCTTCGATTTGATTGTCAGAGAGATTGTGGCCAACGAGGATGAGGATGTTTTAGAGGCTGTTTTTCGGCCTGTTTTAGACTATGTCTACAAAAAGTTTTCTGAGGACTTCACACTGTCAAGTGGGGGCATCACTCGCTGTATAGATCTGCTAGGATTCTTCACTCGACATGAGGCTCTTGCCAAGGTAGATTGTGATTGACCAACAAGGTAATGTTGTTGGCTTACTGGTCTGGGTCTATTTGAAGTTTGAATAAAACCTTATACTACACTTCATTATTGTATTCTTTGCATTCAATAGAAATCATAACTGCATTCATCAAGATAGACTTTCAAAATTCTTTTGAAGTCTAATATGCATAAAGCCTGTCATAATTATATTTATATAGGTATGTGGGATATGGATATTCTACCAGATGATGTAGAATTTGTCTTTGTAAAGGATCTAACACTAATTGTAGACCTGGTGTAGAAGTTCCATATCCTTCATACATAATGATTGACTTTTTCTTCCAACTTTTGCCCAAAATTTTGGTAAACCACAATATAAATAATGCAAATGGAACACTAAACATAGCACAGGTACTAGATCACATATACACAAACTAAGGCCATATTTGAAAAGAGCGGAAAAAGTACTTTATACCATAGTTATACAAGTGTACTTCAAAATTTAAATAATCACACAAGACCTTCAGGTTAAGAATAGCATAACAATTCTTACGTTAATGGGGCAGATTCATTTACCTACGGCAAGATAGTCAGTCATCTGTTGTGATGTCATAATACTAAAGGTCATTGAGTGCACCTATATGGAATACTCTTATCCTACATGAATGTTTCTATGGGAGACATGTATCTGACGTCCTACATGAATGTTTCTATGGGAGACATGTATTTTACGTGTATGTAGAGGTTAGAGAATATGAAAAACCTTACAATACATAATTCTGTTCTTTGTGTTCAGTAGCAACAAAAAATGTGTTCATCTAATTTAAGTTTTGAAGTTTTTAAGATGTAAATCTGTTGTCGGCGAATTAAAAGGAGTCCTTATATTTTTGTATAAATGTATCACAAAATGCCATCTATTTACAATTGGATCAGATGCTGTTTATATAAATGTTCCAGAAAATAGTATTGACAAAGAGAAATTTTATTTTTAGATATTTATGAAGTACATTCAGCCAAAAGACTGGAACAGTGGTAAAGCGTATGAGAGGACCCTTCTAGGTTCTATGTTATCCCTGAACTGTATACCGCTGACAGAGTCGGGAGCCAATCCCTGGTTTGACCAGCCATCCTCCAAACAGAAGAGAGAACTAGATATAATGGAGAGTAACATCCATCAGGTAAGACAAACAACAAGCCCATTTTCAAATTGAAATCCGACCACAATTGATTTTATGTTTGTGTTTGTTGATGATGAATTTGTGTCCCATGATACGAAGGCAAGTTTTCATTTCTGATAATGGTAAAAATGTGTATTCATTTCTAATGTTAAACCTAGGTTTCATTATATTGAAACCATTATTTTTCAGTTGGTAAAGTTATGTCTTCATGTCAAGATTTGTTTCATCTAATGGTTACATCATGTTTTTAATTCTAATGATGAATATATGTTTTCATGGTAAAGTTGTATATCGTTTCTTATTGTAAAGGTCTTTTATTTTTTCTAATTGAAAAAAACATGTATTCATTTCTAAAGATAAACATTTGTTGCATTTCTAAAAGTAAAATTCATATTTTAATTTCTAATGAAAATGTTGCGTTCTATTTCTAATGATCATGTTATGCTTTCATTCTAATAATTAAAGATTTCATTTCTAATATAAAGTTCTGTCTTTTCTAATTGTTAATTTATCTTTATACTTTTTAATGGTGAAGTTAATTTTCATTTCTAATGGTGATGTTTTTGTTCATTGTTGAAAGCTGTTGGAGAACTTGGGAACAAAAATACACAAATTTATGGACACCCTGATCAGGATCTCGCCACATCTCCGGCACCTGGTTCTCTCCTGGATAGGGAAATGTATCCATGCCAATCTAGGTAAAATTGTCTCACCTGGATAGAGTATAAGACTCTCACATGACCAGGGGTGTAGGATAGGGAGAACTTCAATAGGGGTTTCAAAATTGTGTGAAACCCAAGGCTTGCCGAGCGTTTTGCACTTTTTGTAAATCCTGAAGGTGAAAATTCCCTATCCTATTTATCTGGACATATAAGAGCAATTTTCTCTAATTCCAATCACCAAAATTCACTCAGAAACCACAAAAAGGCATCACAGTTTCTGCTTTGCCGAGGGTCTTTTGCTCAATATTTTATCCCGAGGGCTTGAATGACCTTATACATACCTCTCATCAGGGATAGATTCTATTTCATGCTTATTATCTAAAATCCGTAAAAACAGCTGCTTTTAGTTAAGTTGTAAACTGTCTGCACATTTCTCATTTGCATATGAAAACCGAATGGCGATTGCTAATGACGTCAATGACCCTGACTGACCCCAAAACATCATAAAATGACGTTATGAACAATAGCGTGACCCCGAAAGGTCGCTACAATTCCCCTGCCAGTTTGTGCGTGTAAGCGATCCAGACCCTAGGGTTGGAATCCGGAAATGCGGATATCTCAATCTAGTATGCATGGAAATACTCATCTAACCTGGATAGAGAAACCTACATAAATTAATCTAGATAATATTTATCTTACCTGGATAGAGAAATCTACATAAATTAATCTAGATAATATTTATCTTACCTGGATAGAGAAATCTACACAAGTCAATCTAGGTAATAACCTGGATAGAGAAATGTGTCCAAGTGAAGTCTGTTTGTAATACATGTTTATGTTATAGTTACGCTCACATCATATTAGTTGATGTTTAAGTGAACCAACAGATTAACAAACTTAATTGATTAATATCCTTGATTTTTACATTATTTTATAAAATGTTAATACACTGTAACTCAACATTGCTGTCTGTTTCAGGGAGGTCCAAAATTTGGTCATCACAGATGCCCCAGCTGTTTAATCAGATGTTCGCGTCTGATGGATTCTGCTTAAACCTGTGTTTTGTCATGCTACAGTTCTGTTTCCCCATCACAACCAAGGAGGCAAAGCTAGTGATGATCCAACCCAGTTACACCACCGTCGTCACCGCTGACGACCAGCATGCTCAACAAGTAGGCGTTCACTCCAAAGGTAGCGGTTTAATTTGTTATTGGTAATACAATGTAGAATAAAACAACACATAATAATGAGCATTATGTTAGAATATAGTAAACCCTGTTATATTCAAATTCAGTTTGACCTGGATAAGGTGTGTTTGGGCCAAAGGATATGTTTCAGCTTGGAGGGTTTTGTGAGTTTAGTTGAGCTATCTGTTTGAGCTAGGAGGAATATTTTACTAACTAGAGTTTTAGATAACCAGGATCTTCTGTAAAATTATAAAAAATAAAATGTGGCCAGCCAGTTCTGAAATTTCTTTCCTAGTACTAAACTCTTTCTATGTACTATCAAAAGGAACCACAATATCACACAGTATTCTCAAACTACAGGTTACTTGTTTAAATGGCTAAATTTCCTGATCTTTTGTTTTTCATCTTTTACTTCTGTAAAACTTACTTTTGACAACACCTGTCTCCTTTCTCTTTTGTGTTACACTTTACTATAATTCTTTTAAGTTTCTATGTGTTTTTGTTTTCTATAAAATGTTACTTCCATGTCTTGGTCATCTACCATTACCAACTCTCTACTGACTGTGTTACTGTGTATGATCTTACTGTGTTGATAGGTGCTTAAGACTTCAATAAGAATGATTACCTGATGCAAAAAGAAATTGGTTCATGAGCAATATAAAAAAAGCAGAAGTATATCACAGGTATTATATAGAAAGGAAATACTTAAAAAAAACATGTCAGCATATAGGGTGTGTTGTTGTCATGCAGGTTTAAACAAAGAGACCTGTCTTATTCCTCTGGACGAGAACAAGCCCAAACTTCAGCTGGAAGACCAGTACAACTTTGTCACAGAGTGTTTCTTCCTTACACACCAGTGTCTCAATGTAGGATTCCGTACAGTACACGGACGCTTCCTCAAATTAAATCAGAGTTTACACAGAATACAGCGACTCTACCAGGAAGTGAGGGATCAGGGAGATAGTGCCGTCAGGGAAGTCAAAAGCGAGATGGATAAAGGTAAGTCAGAAAAGGTTAAAGACAGGTCAGAGTTCAGAGAGGGTTAAATGTTGGTCAGTATTAAGAGATGGATAAAGAAAGGTCAGAGTTCAGAGATGGATAAGTATGTAAAGTAAAAGCAAAATTATATGTTTCAGCCATGTCTATATACTTATGTATAAAGGCTGCCCTGTGTGAGCCACATATGCTGGAGAAAGCACTCGACTTTCATCTGGCAACCTCTATCTGGCTATCCAAGATCACAATATCAGATGATGTCAAGACCGTCAAAGAAATAGCATTTCCTCTGCCAGCGGAGGTCCCTCTTGCCATACCTCACATTCCCGAGTTTGTGATGGGTAATGTTACCGACTTCACCATGTTCATGCACAGGTTCAAGGACAACCTATTCCTGGTAAGTTTATCCCTTTCGAAACATTACGTGTAATTATATATACCGGTAATCAGTCACTGCAGAACTGACGATTTACTGACACGGTTGTAAATCCTGGCTCCTTTACTTGTGATCTGGAGTGGGAAGTATCCATCAGTTGTGTGTGGATATTACTGGCCTTGTGACTCTATCATTTTGAGGTATTGATATACACAACTGTACATGTAGCTGAAAATGCCATAACATCACACTCAAATAAATCACTTTATCAGTGCATATTGTTTTAATTTTGTTTCAAACCACTCATTTACATTGTCAGATATGAAATGAAAACATTCCTATTTTCAAATTACTCAGGGAATTGAAATCACAATTGACTCCTCAAAATTTTATGCCAAAATACTGATATCTGCAATCTCAAAAAAGAAATAAATCACAAAAATTACAGTTTTGCTTCAGTTTTTATACGCCCGTCATATGACGGAAGTATTTTGGTATGGGGTTGTCCGTCCGTCCGTCTGTCCGGCATAAACTTTTGTTTGTCCGGCAATCTCCTCCTACATTTTTCGACCAATCTCTTTGAAACTTGGTATACATTATAATCATGATATGTTGTAGTGTTTCCTTGAAAAGAATTTTGATTCAACAATTTTTGCAAAAGTTATTGCCCTTTGTTTATTTCAGTATTTGATTTTTGTCCGGCAATCTCCTACATTTTTCAACGGATCTCTTTGATACTTGGTATACATTATAATCATGATATGAAGTTGTGTTTCCCTTAAAAGAATTTTGATTCAACGATTTTTGCACAAGTTATTTTTCTTTGTTCATTTCAGTATTTGATTTTTTGTCCGGAGATTTTCTTCTTCAATTTTTTATAGCATGTTAGCTAACCACTCTTAGAATGATGCAGAACTTATTTCAATGTAAGAAAGTATATAACACTATATGGCATTCGACGGGCGTATATTGTTCCGCCCCGCTGTACTCTTGTTTTATTATAGGGTATTATGAAACATGTACCAAATACTAAGACTGTGAATTTAACCTGTTTGACGTAGGTCGCTAAGGAAAAACTAGACCACTTCATGACCCTGATCCTGGTCTACATGGGCAGCCCTGAGCGAATGAAGAACCCACATTTAAGAGCTGAACTTGCTGAAACCTTGTCAGCCCTCATACCCCCAAAGATGGATAGCAATTCTGGGCAGTATGACTTCATCAGGTGAGTGAACTCCCATGAATGTGTGTCACATTTTGTGACGTCACACCATCTGAGATGTCATTCTATTGTTGTACTCATTACATTTCCAACTTTAGATAAATCATCAAGTGAGAGGATGTGCTTTTGTGTTGTTTTTAATTCAAACTCAAAGACACAGCAAAGAGACCCTACAATTCAATGGCGAAATGGGTAGGATATGTGTCAGAATTGTATGAAGTTTAATTGTAAAACATTCCATGTGTGATTCTATGTATGTGTATACAGTGTTTACTGTAACAATATCTGTGTGTGTGTATAAAGTGTTTACTGTAACAATATCTGTGTATGTGTATAAAGTGTTTACTGTAACAATATCTGTGTATGTGTATAAAGTGTTTACTGTAACAATATCTGTGTATGTGTATAAAGTGTTTACTGTAACAATATCTGTGTATGTGTATAAAGTGTTTACTGTAACAATATCTGTGTATGTGTATAAAGTGTTTACTGTAACAATATCTATGTATGTGTATACAGTGTTTACTGTAACAATATCTGTGTATGTGTATAAAGTGTTTACTGTAACAATATCTGTGTATGTGAATAAAGTGTTTACTGTAACAATATCTGTGTATGTGAACAAAGTGTTTACTGTAACAATATCTGTGTATGTGAATAAAGTGTTTACTGTAACAATATCTGTGTATGTGAACAAAGTGTTTACTGTAACAATATCTGTGTATGTGAATAAAGTGTTTACTGTAACAATATCTGTGTATGAGTATAAAATGCTTACTGTAACAATATCTGTGTATGTGTATAAAGTGTCTACTGTAACAATATCTGTGTATGTGTATAAAGTGTCTACTGTAACAATATCTGTGTATGTGTATAAAGTGTCTACTGTAACAATATCTGTGTATGTGTATAAAGTATTTACTGTAACAATATCTGTGTATGTGTATAAAGTGCTTACTGTAACAATATCTGTGTATGTGTATAAAGAGTTTACTGTAACAATATCTGTGTATGTGTATATAGTGTTTACTGTAACAATATCTGTGTATGTGTATAAAGTGTCTACTGTAACAATATCTGTGTATGTGTATACAGTGCTTACTGTAACAATATCTGTGTATGTGTATAAAGTGCTTACTGTAACAATATCCGTGTATGTGTATAAAGTGTTTACTGTAACAATATCTTTGTATGTGTATAAAGTGTTTACTGTAACAATATCTGTCTATGTGTATAAAGTGTTTACTGTAACAATATCTGTGGATGTGTATAAAGTGTTTACTGTAACAATATCTGTCTATGTGTATAAAGTGTTTACTGTAACAATATCTGTCTATGTGTATAAAGTGTTTACTGTAACAATATCTGTGGATGTGTATAAAGTGTTTACTGTAACAATATCTGTGGATGTGTATAAAGTGTTTACTGTAACAATATCTGTGGATGTGTATAAAGTGTTTACTGTAACAATATCTGTGTATGTGGATAAAGTGTTTACTGTAACAATATCTGTGTATGTGGATAAAGTGTTTACTGTAACAATATCTGTGTATGAGTATAAAATGCTTACTGTAACAATATCTGTGTATGTGTATAAAGAGTTTACTGTAACAATATCTGTGTATGTGTATATACTGTTTACTGTAACAATATCTGTGTATGTGTATATAGTGTTTACTGTAACAATATATGTGTATGTGTATAAAGTGTTTACTGTAACAATGTCTGTGTATGTGTATATAGTGTTTACTGTAACAATATATGTGTATGTGTATAAAGTGTTTACTGTAACAATATCTGTCTATGTGTATAAAGTGTTTACTGTAACAATATCTGTCTATGTGTATAAAGTGTTTACTGTAACAATATCTTTGTATGTGTATAAAGTGTTTACTGTAACAATATGTGTATACAGTGTTTACTGTAACAATATCTATGTATGTGTATAAAGTGTTTACTGTAACAATATCTTTGTATGTGTATAAAGTGTTTACTGTAACAATATGTGTATACAGTGTTTACTGTAACAATATCTATGTATGTGTATAAAGTGTTTACTGTAACAATATGTGTATACAGTGTTTACTGTAACAATATCTATGTATGTGTATAAAGTGTTTACTGTAACAATATCTGTGTATGTGTAAACAGTGTTTACTGTAACAATAGCTGTGTATGTGTATGATACATCTGTTGCAGACACCGTTTGTTTTATTACCACCCCCATGTGAAACACGTTGCTGAGAAACTTCTGCATGTGTTTGTGAGTATAGAGATGACAGGACAGAGTGTGGAGTTTGAGCAAAAGTTTAACTACCGCCGGCCTATGTATGCTACCCTGGAGCACATCTGGGAGATAAAAACGCACATGGACGCCATCAAGGTATGAAGTGTTTACCTGGATAAACAAGGTCAACTTGGAATAGTCTGTTTACATTTCTGTTTATATTTGGTTATAAATTTATGCAAGATTCCAGCTTGAAACACTTTACAGCTTTATTAGCATAATTGTCATCTGAGGATTTGATGTTTATTATTACATCAAACAAATCAATGCAAATTTCATTTTATGTTCTTTTTAGGTCACCTGAGCTTTAGTCCTGACAAAGTGTTGTTATTTTTCAGGTCAATCAGAAATCCAATAGGGCCGCCACGGCCGCCATTTTGAAAACCTATTTCAAACTTAAAGTCAAGTTCTGCTGGGCCAATTGAACTGAAAGTTGGTAGGAATGATCAGCTCATGGTCCTGACAAAGTGTTGTTATTTTTCGGGTCAATCAGAAATACAATTTGGCTGCCATGGCCACTATTTTGCTACTAAGTTCTAATAGGCCGATCTCACTTAAAATTGGTCTAGGAATGATCAGCTCATGGTCCTGACAAAGTGTTGTTATTTTTCAGGTCAATCAGAAATACAATATGGCCGCCACGGCCGCCATTTTGAAAACCTATTTCAAACTTAAAGTCAAGTTCTGCTGGCCCAATTGAACTTAAAGTTTGTAGGAATGATCAACTCATGGTCCTGACAAAGTGTTGTTATTTTTCAGGTCAATCAGAAATCAAATATGGCCGCCACGGCCGCCATTTTGAAAACCTACTTCAAACTTAAAGTCAAGTTCTGCTGGACCAATTGAACTTAAAGTTTGTAGGAATGATCGAATCATGGTCCTGACAAAGTGTTGTTATTTTTCAGGTCAATCAGAAATCAAATATGGCCGCCACGGCCGCCATTTTGAAAACCTATTTCAAACTTAAAGTCAAGTTCTGCTGGCCCAATTGAACTTAAAGTTTGTAGGAATGATCGAATCATGGTCCTGACAAAGTGTTGTTATTTTTCGGGTCAATCAGAAATACAATTTGGCTACCATGGCCACTATTTTGCTACTAAGTTCTAATAGGCCGATCTCACTTAAAATTGGTCTAGGAATGATCAGCTCATGGTCCTGACAAAGTTAAGTTAACATTATACTATTTTTACACAAATTGGTACATATTTCAACAACAAAAATAAATACTGTTAACTCAGGTGACCGTTTAGGCCCATGGGCCTCTTGTTTATATCAAGTTTTCATTTTCAATAGTATGAAATGTTATACATGTAGTAGTAATTTGAAAAAGAATGGCTTTGATTTTGCTCTTTAATTGCCTAAAAGACTGTAAGATTACTGTGTAATGACTTGGTGAAACATTCTCCTGTACATACAGTTTGTTTACCAGACAAACATTGTGTCATTTTAAGGTAAATTTTAGTTATTTCAAATTTAATTTTTAGCCCACCACAGATGGTGGGCTATTCAAATCGCCCTGCGTCTGTGGTCCGTGGTCCGTCTGTCATCCGTCATTCGTTCTTAAACAATTCTTGTTATCAATATTTATGAGGAAGTACCAGAGAGATCTTTCTCAAATTTTATATGTAGGTTCCCCTTGGTCCCTAGTTGTGCATATTTACTTTTTGAGACTGATCGGATAAAAAAAATGGCCGACAGGCAGCCATCTTGGATTGTGATATTAAAGGTTTGTTATCGCTATTTCTCATGAAGTACTTAAGGGATCTTTCCCAACTTTGTTATGAAGGCTCCCCTTGATCTGCAGTTCTGCATGTTCAATTTTGAGAATGATTAGATAAACAAAATGGCCGACAGGCAGCCATCTTGGATTTTTACAGTGAAGGTTTGTTATCAATATTTCTGAGGAAGTACTGGATGAGGGATCTTTCTCAAGTTTAATATGCAGGTTCCCCTTGGTCCCTGGTTGTGCAGGTTTGCTTTTGAGACTGATCAGATAAACAAAATGGTGGACAGGCAGCAATCTTGGATTTGACAATGAATGTTTTTTATCGCTATTTCTCAATAAGTACTGGAGAGATCTTTCTCAAATTTAACATGTAGGTTCCCCTTGGTCTGTAGTTGTGCGTGTTGAATTTTGAGAATGACCATATAAACAAAATGGCCGACATGCAGCTATCTTAGATTTTTACAGTGAAAGTTTGTTATCGCTATTTCTTAGGAAGCACTGGAGGGATCTTTCTCAAATTTTATATGTAGGTTCCCCTATGTTCCTGGTTGTGCATGTTTACTTTTGAGACTGATCAGATAACAAAATGGCTGACAGGCAGCAATCTTAGATTTTGACAGTGAAGGTTTGTAATAGCTTTTTCTCAATAAGGACTGGAGAGATCTTTCTCAAATTTGACATGTAGATTCCCCTTGGTATGTAGTTGTGCAAATTCTCTTATGAGACTGATCTGATAAACAAATCTTTGATTTTGACAGTTAAGGTTTGTTAGTGCTATTTCCCAGGAAGCACTGGAGGGTTCTTTCTCAAATTTTATGTGCAGGTTCCCCACTGTCCTTTATTGTTCATGTTTACTTTTGAAACCGATCAGATAAACAAAATGCCCGATTTGAATACACAGCAGTATTAAGTTTAGATCAAAAGTGACCTCAAGGTGAATTTACTGTTAACATGACTCAAACATACATCAAACAGATTAGTGAAAAGAAGAGAAAAGACTGCACTGACAAAGAACTAATGAAGATGGTACAATGGTGGGCACCAAGATCCCTCTGGGATCTCTTGTTAAATTACTTGCTTACAAATATATATGTGAGCAGCTTAGCAAACATGCAATTTGTAAAACTCATTAATATAAAGACATTGCTTTTTTGAAAGGTAATGTCAGAGCACGCTGAAGAACATATCGAGGCCACGGATCCGCCACTCTTCTTACGATTTATCAACCTTCTCATCAACGATGCTATCTTTCTATTAGATGAGGCATTATCTGTAAGTGTTTCAATAGAGAGTGGGGCAAAGGGAGAGAACCGATGAATCCTTACTAGCACAAGTGTAATAGGAGTTGTCTGTCTTGTGTTGGACAAGATTTTAGAAATTACTTAATAGCTTTTACAGGTTATTTGACTCCATAGTCACAGCCTAAAAAGTATACAGGAAATATTCACTGAGTTTTAGAATTACATTCATATTTTTTGTACTTGTGATGAAATCGATTTATTTTGTGAATAAACTGTCCTCCATGTAATGAGAATCTTATTATATTTACGGTTTTCTGGGTGAATGAGGTTTTGATAATGCTATATTTGGGTGAGCAAGGTTTGAATACATACTATATTTGAATGTTTGTGAGGTGCCAATACATGTTTGATTTGTGTATTGGAGGTATGGATACATGCTTTATTGTATGTGAGATTTTAACACTTTGTTTGTTTGTGATTCAGTTCATGAGTCAGATCAAAGAGAAGCAGCAGCAGCAGGAGAGGGGAGAATGGCAAGAGTTACCTCCCCAGCGTCGCCAGGAGGAGGAGGGCACACTGCGCCAGCTCACGATGATGGCCCGCTACCACAACCAGATGGGGAATCACACCATCCATACTCTAGAGATGATCACTAAGGAGATCAAATCCATCTTCTGCCACGCCTCGATCGTGAATAGGATCGCTGGCATGCTCAACTATTTCCTTCAACACCTTGTAAGTATTTTCAGTCACCCCCAATAATTTGTTTGAGGAAATGAAATTGACAAAGTTTGACCTCCCGAAATTAAGGCACTGCATAATGTTTGCAGCATTTATCTGACCTGTAGTTTGTCCTTATTTCCTCCTGTCTGACCTTTAATCTGTATTTTTGTAGTTCTGTCTGTCCTTTAATCTCTCCTTGTGTATCGTCCTGTCTGTCCTTTTATTTATCCATGTGTATGGTTCTATCTGCCCTTCAAAGCTTGTTCTCTAATTGTATCTCTGTGTGCCATCCAGTCTGTCCTTTAATTCTTTTGTAACATTCTGTCTATCCTTTAAGCCTGAACCGTTCCAAACTCATGTAGTACTTCTATGTATAGTAAGCAATGATACATTAATTGTCATCTGCAGGTCGGTCCCAAGCAGAGAAATTTCAAAGTGAAAGACAAAAATGAGGTAGATTTCAAGCCGGATCAGACAGTGCTGGATATTGTTAGGATATACTTGAATCTAGGAGAGGCTGACTGTTTCTGCCTGGCGGTGTCTGGTGATGGGCGTTCATACTCAGCAGAGCTCTTCCCTAAGGCTATCGGTGTCCTTCAGCGTATATCAGCCTCCCCTGCAATCATCAGTGACTTTGAAATCTTTCAAGACAAATTAACGGTAGGTGAACTTTCAGAATGAATAATTAAGGTATTCTTACATGTATAATTTACAAATATTTTACTTAAACAGTAATACATGTACCTGTTCACGTTATCCCTGTTTGTTCAGATTACCAACAAAACAAATTGTGATGAAATATGGACACATTCTAACAGGCACAAGTGACCTTATCAAATCTATTTTGTGTCTTACTTTTTATAATTCATAAACTTTCTAAAGTAAAAGAACTTCATTTCTTATCTGTAGTTTATTTTTGAAATGGAAATATATCTTAAGATCCCTTTACACACCTCCCATTAAGGAATATATGCAGTCAGTAACATTCTTTCAATTTTTCAATCCCAGCTGCAGGTGATGACCAATCGTAATGCTAGTCATATATCAACCAATGCGGTTGACTGGGAATAATGATGTGACAAGATCACGTTTCAGTTTAGTGAAATGTATTTTAATGAATAATGTTGCATGTTTAACTTTGATATGATTTTTTTAAAAATAAATATGATACAATGTGACTACAGAAAATGCGGAAACAACAAAAGGAGGAGGAGGAGTTATTTGACGACGCCCCGGATGAGTTCCTCGACCCTATCATGGGCACACTTATGACAGAGCCTGTTCTACTGCCCTCATCTAACAACATCATGGACAAGAATGTCCTAGCCAGACACTTACTCAGGTGAGACACAGTTTCCTCCTTTTGAGCCTTACCTGGAGATAATTTTCAGAATTCACAGTTTATGCGTTTTACTTTGTCACAAGCTAGCATAAAATTACAAGTACAATGTATTAGTAAATATAAACCAATTACAATCTTCTATACAATGGGTACAGGCGGATCTAGCAGATGTTAACAGAACCAGGTATAATGATGAACCCTCTGGCCAATTTTTGTCGATAGTTAAGTTCACTATTAACCAAGATAGAATTTTGGTTTGCTGACTTAAAGCAATATTTATTGCTTGAGATTGCCTGTTGGCGCACAAGGTCAAAGGCCAATGTCTCAATTATTAGTTCATCATCTATTTTGCTGTCTACCATGATTATAGTAGATGTCTATCAAAGTACATTTCTGTTGTACAGTGACCAGAGCGATCCCTTCAACAGATCCCCTCTCAGTCTGGACATGGTCATCCCAGATACAGAGCTCAAGGATCAGATACAGCAATGGATGGCTGAGAAACGACATGGGCAAAATAATAAGTGACATGTGTCATGTCAACAAGCAGATCTAGCTGTGATATCCTTCCTGAGGAAATACCAGGAGATTGGTACACAAATGTGGTATCAACAATACGATACATGGAGTTAGTGCTATTTTGTCAGACGACATATCAATGACTGATGCCAGAAACTCAAGCATTTCATCAAACGTCATTGTACTGTTACCATGCAACACTTCAGACGTATGTCATGTTGGCTCAGTTCAAGGTTCACCATCTTGATTCTACTGTCATTTAAAGGATTCCTACATAGATACAGTCTAGTCGTACGTGGTTTGAAGGAGTGGAACATCTACAGCGTATGGTATCGGGAAGACAATCCTATTTCATTACATGGTTTTATATTTACGGTCTCTGCCCCTGTATACAGAGATATTTTCACGATGAGGTACATGACAACAAGATTTCTAGTCAGTAGCACTATACACTAGTATACATCTTACAACTTCATACTGGTAATTCAACACCGTGCTGATATGTACTTCTGGTTTTAAATGTGAAAATATAAAAGCAATAAACATTCACTAATATATAACATTTCATAAACATTGTGTGTTTCCAAGAAAAAATTGTAAATATTTGGTCTAGCATCATCTAACATAAATTCGTGATGTGACACATTGCTTATTTAAATCATGGTTGTAGCTAAGGAAACCCTTGCTTACATAAGAATATTAATAGCATATATTGGTTAGGTATGGGGAAAGATAATGGTAAGCTACGGGCAAAGATATTGGTTAGGTACGGGGAAAGATAATGGTAAGGTACGGGCAAAGATATTGGTTAGGTACGGGGAAAGATAATGGTAAAGTACTGGCAAAGATATTGGTTAGGTACGGGGAAAGATAATGTTAAAGTACGGGCAAAGATATTGGTTAGGTACGGGGAAAGATAATGGTTAGGTATGGGGAAAAATAATGGTAAAGTACGGGCAAAGATAATGGTAAGGTACCGGGAAAGATAATGGTAAAGTACAGGCAAAGATATTGGTTAGGTACGGGGAAAGATAATGGTTAGGTATGGGGAAAGATAATGGTAAAGTACCGGCAAAGATAATGGTAAAGTACCGGCAAAGATAATGGTAAAGTATTTTCTATGATTTGTAGTATTTCCAAATGTTGACTTCAGATGTAACTACAACAGAACCGGAGAGAAGTTGACAATACTGACAAATTAAGACATTAGAGCGTATGTGTGTCAGTATGTAAGACTTGATTTTGCTGTGTTATATTTTACCTGTTTTGTTATATTTTGTTTTGTTGAAGCATTTAAAGTTGTTAGTCATTAATATCGGATGTAGTATTTATAGGGATGCCTCCCGTAGGAGTCAATCAGTATACCCTCATATATTCTAGTGACATTGAACCTGATTTTAAAAGCATTTGTGGGATAAAAGTATACTGATGAAGAAACATTCCTGTCTTTTCAATCAAATGTCATGTTTTAGTGTTATATTTGTGTGTTTTCAGTACTGATACAGTATACTGTTGGGAGGTGACGATTCAGGGACAATTTCCCCCCCCCCCCCCCCCCCCCAAATATCCATCAAACTTTCCACTTCCACTACATTTATTCCTAATAATCGACCTTGACTCAAACTCCTATTTGCTTACTCCCGATCATTCATGTTTCACTTTTACAATCAGAAGAATATCCCAGATCCTGCTTTTAACACCAATTCAAATATTTTCTCAGAACATCTTAACTTATGGCAGTTTACACTATTATATTGTCAAGTAGCGCTCATTGCAGAAAAATTGAAATATAAAAGTTTGCAAACATTGTCCCCTAAACAACGTGGCGCTATCCCAGTGGACACTACCAGAGGTTGATAGGCCCAGAAATTTCGAAATCTATCCCGCTATATTTTTTTTTTTTTTTTTTTTTTTTATTGCAAATGAAGTATACAATCGGTTTTTAAAAGCCTATATTATTTCGGGGGGGGGAGGGGGAACCAAGAAAGTTTTGAGATTGAATATGAAAACAGGTTTCTATTTACGACTTATAACAAAAACTATCGCACCCTATACCTCTTGGTTATTCAAAGGTCGTTGACGTTTTAACTAATTATTCTCGTGTGACCTTGACAGTTGGTCACGGTAATTCATTTGAACAATCTTGATCAGCCCTACATCGCGCATTCTACTGGTCATTCAGAAGAAGTTGTTTGAAAGTGTATGCCGCACAGGTGGACAATGGCCGCCGCACCATCCCATGTGCTCATGTGGTCATTCGGGCCAGGTGAGCAACGTTATTTGTTCTTAGGTCGTGAACGTTTTTTCACAAGTCATGGGATTTCCCCCGATGTGATTTATATTACACTGTACATCTGTGTAATCCTAGTTGATTGAGCGAGTTAATACAATTAGTTTGACTTTTGAATATCGGTTGAATATTTCCTTTACAATCTTAAAAAATACGAAACGAATTTAGCTGGATATATTGTAAGTATCGTGTGTTATTGTATCTCATTGCAATCGATGTGTAATGTAACACATTATTTTGCTTTCTAAAGAAAGTCGCAACACTACTACATGATGTGTCATGTGTAAACAACATTTTATTTATGAATAAAACACTGCTTGACGTGCAATGATTTCATCTTCTTTGTGAAATGGCACTGCTCGTACATACTGGACCAGTAGCTCAGAGATCCAGAAACAAATGGCGGGGATGGGATGGGAAGGGGATTAGAATTAATTGGGCATAGGAAAAGGGAAAAAATTCACGATAGTTTGCAAAATGTTTGGTTTATAATGGAAATTTCCCCAATAGTGGGATTCCTCAAGGGCAGAATATCCCTGTTATGATCCGCTACAATGATCCCCGCTACATTGATCAGATTACGTGGGTCATTGGATAACCTTTGTTTCCGTCCTTACTCCATGTTATGTTCACCGACACGCGTTCTCTCCGTTCTGTCTACCTTATGCCCCCCGCCCTACCCCCGCGCTGCTGTCCTGTTCCCACGTACACACTTACTACGTCTTAGCACAATTCATTCAAATATTTGGTCACTCTAAACAATTTATACATTCTGTTCATCCGTGCACTACCAAGCATACATCGGTTACCAGATGTTGCGTTCACCCGTACACTCTCTTTCTATCATTGCCGTAAACATGCTCGTTTTAATTAAGTGTGTTCTATTTTCATTTCAATAGCACGCGAAATGTTGACAATAAAGCATGACAGGCGACGACAATAATTCCATATTAGCGGCGATGCTAAGAGTCTTTACGACAATAAACAGTAATTCCCTTCTCCTACCTGCCATCCGAATGCATATCCTGCACTTTCCTGTCTACTTCCACGACTAAATCAATGTCTATAATGTGTTGTGATTTATTCACAGATTTAATGCGTATCATTTTAAATTTTGAAGTCGATCTGACATTATTTGATTTGTTGGTGCAATGCACGGGCCGACTGAGAACTACGTCTTACGTGGGCCGTTATCACTGCTCACACACAGCAATATATCAACACAAACCAATGGACACAATTGCACTGATAGATAACACACTGATAGACAACTCATCCTTATACACAACACACAACAATATATCAACACAAACCAACGGACACAATATACACTGATAGATAACATACTGATAGACAACTCATCCTTATACACAACACACACAACAATATATCAACACAAACCAACGGACACAATATACACTGATAGATAACATACTGATAGACAACTCATCCTTATACACAACACACACAACAATATATCAACACAAACCAACGGACACAATATACACTGATAGATAACATACTGATAGACAACTCATCCTTATACACAACACACACAACAATATATCAACACAAACCAACGGACACAATATACACTGATAGATAACATACTGATAGACAACTCATCCTTATACACAACACACACAACAATATATCAACACAAACCAACGGACACAAAATACACTGATAGATAACATACTGATAGACAACTCATCCTTATACACAACACACAACAATATATCAACACAAACCAACGGACACAATATACACTGATAGATAACATACTGATAGACAACTCATCCTTATACACAACACACACAACAATATATCAACACAAACCAACGGACACAAAATACACTGATAGATAACATACTGATAGACAACTCATCCTTATACACAACACACACAACAATATATCAACACAAACCAACGGACACAATATACACTGATAGATAACATACTGATAGACAACTCATCCTTATACACAACACACAACAATATATCAACACAAACCAACGGACACAATATACACTGATAGATAACATACTGATAGACAACTCATCCTTATACACAACACACACAACAATATATCAACACAAACCAACGGACACAATATACACTGATAGATAACATAAATACTGATGGAAAACTCATCCTTATATACAACACACACAACAATATATCAACACAAACCAACAAACACAATACACACTGATATATAACATACTGATGGGCAACTCATCCTTATACACAACACACACAACAATATATCAACACAAACCAACGGACATGATATACACTAATAGATAGCATACTTATAGACAACAAACACCTACCGAAAGACAACACATACTGATAGACTACAAACACCTACCGAAATACAACACTAACTGATACACAACACATACTGAAAGACCAGAAACATCTACCGAAATACAACACTAAATGATACACAACACATACTGATAGACCACAAACACCTACCGAAAGACAACACTTACAGATAGACAACACATACTGATAGACAACACATACTTATAGACAACACACCTTCCGAAAGACAACATTTACTGATAAACAGCACATACTGATAGACCAGAAACATCTCCTGAAAGACAACACCAACTGGTACACAACACATACTGATAGACAACAAACACCTACCGAATGACAACACTAAATGATACACAACACATACTGATAGACCAGAAACATCTACCGAAAGACAACACTAACTGGTACACAACACATACTGATAGACCAGAAACATCTACCGAAAGACAACACTAACTGGTACACAACACATACTGATAGACCAGAAACATCTACCGAATGACAACACTAAATGCTACACAACACATACTGATAGACAACAAACACCTACCGAAAGACAACATTTACTGATAAACAACACACTGATAAACAACACCTACTGATAGACATCAAACACCTACCGAAATACAACACACACTGATAAACACTACATACTGATAGACAACAAACACCTACCGAAATGCAACACTAACTGATACACAACACATACTGATAGACCACAAACACCTACCGAAAGACAACACTTACAGATAGACAACACATACTGATAGACAACACATACTTATAGACAACACACCTTCCGAAAGACAACATTTACTGATAAACAGCACATACTGATAGACCAGAAACATCTCCTGAAAGACAACACCAACTGGTACACAACACATACTGATAGACCAGAAACATCTACCGAATGACAACACTAAATGCTACACAACACAAACTGATAGACAACAAACACCTACCGAAAGACAACATTTACTGATAAACAACACACTGATAAACAACACCTACTGATAGACATCAAACACCTACCGAAATACAACACACACTGATAAACACTACATACTGATAGACAACAAACACCTACCGAAATGCAACACTAACTGATACACAACACATACTGATAGACCACAAACACCTACCGAAAGACAACACTTACAGATAGACAACACATACTGATAGACAACACATACTTATAGACAACACACCTTCCGAAAGACAACATTTACTGATAAACAGCACATACTGATAGACCAGAAACATCTCCTGAAAGACAACACCAACTGGTACACAACACATACTGATAGACCAGAAACATCTACCGAATGACAACACTAAATGCTACACAACACAAACTGATAGACAACAAACACCTACCGAAAGACAACATTTACTGATAAACAACACACTGATAAACAACACCTACTGATAGACATCAAACACCTACCGAAATACAACACACACTGATAAACACTACATACTGATAGACAACAAACACCTACCGAAATGCAACACTAACTGATACACAACACATACTGATAGACCACAAACACCTACCGAAAGACAACACTTACAGATAGACAACACATACTGATAGACAACACATACTTATAGACAACACACCTTCCGAAAGACAACATTTACTGATAAACAGCACATACTGATAGACCAGAAACATCTCCTGAAAGACAACACCAACTGGTACACAACACATACTGATAGACCAGAAACATCTACCGAATGACAACACTAAATGCTACACAACACAAACTGATAGACAACAAACACCTACCGAAAGACAACATTTACTGATAAACAACACACTGATAAACAACACCTACTGATAGACATCAAACACCTACCGAAATACAACACACACTGATAAACACTACATACTGATAGACAACAAACACCTACCGAAATGCAACACTAACTGATACACAACACATACTGATAGACCACAAACACCTACCGAAAGACAACACTTACAGATAGACAACACATACTGATAGACAACACATACTTATAGACAACACACCTTCCGAAAGACAACATTTACTGATAAACAGCACATACTGATAGACCAGAAACATCTCCTGAAAGACAACACCAACTGGTACACAACACATACTGATAGACCAGAAACATCTACCGAATGACAACACTAAATGCTACACAACACAAACTGATAGACAACAAACACCTACCGAAAGACAACATTTACTGATAAACAACACACTGATAAACAACACCTACTGATAGACATCAAACACCTACCGAAATACAACACACACTGATAAACACTACATACTGATAGACAACAAACACCTACCGAAATGCAACACTAACTGATACACAACACATACTGATAGACCACAAACACCTACCGAAAGACAACACTTACAGATAGACAACACATACTGATAGACAACACATACTTATAGACAACACACCTTCCGAAAGACAACATTTACTGATAAACAGCACATACTGATAGACCAGAAACATCTCCTGAAAGACAACACCAACTGGTACACAACACATACTGATAGACCAGAAACATCTACCGAATGACAACACTAAATGCTACACAACACAAACTGATAGACAACAAACACCTACCGAAAGACAACATTTACTGATAAACAACACACTGATAAACAACACCTACTGATAGACATCAAACACCTACCGAAATACAACACACACTGATAAACACTACATACTGATAGACAACAAACACCTACCGAAATGCAACACTAACTGATACACAACACATACTGATAGACCACAAACACCTACCGAAAGACAACACTTACAGATAGACAACACATACTGATAGACAACACATACTTATAGACAACACACCTTCCGAAAGACAACATTTACTGATAAACAGCACATACTGATAGACCAGAAACATCTCCTGAAAGACAACACCAACTGGTACACAACACATACTGATAGACCAGAAACATCTACCGAATGA